ATTGATAAAGGGCCACTTTACACATAACCTTTAATTTTGAAGAGCAAAACAAAATGGAAAGGGCACTATCCATCAGTACTCGAAAATCTCATTTTCCAATGGAGGTTAATGTCCAGCTCACAAACAGGGCACTAATTTTTGGCAACAGCTCGGTTTCTTCCACCAAAGTAGATATCAATCCATGCACTATGTTTCTTTGTCTACTGACCGTTACTGCGATCGTTACAGACCTTTTGGCGCCAGGTTTGTGCCAGCGCCAGTTTCGCGTCACCACTTTCACCACAAAATTCAACATGAACACATGGTTAGAGACTTTCGCTACTCCCAACGCCAAATTCGACACCCATTATTGATCTGACGTTGATAAAGCCATTCGATTACCCCAAGAGCATGTCCCGATTCCAATGGAAAACCGTAGCTTCAAACGACGCCAGCATCAGAATGAATGCCATTTTCGCCAGAGACACCAAATAACCCCTTTTAGCAAAATAATATATTTGAGATGAGTTTTCAGAGTAGCAACGATTGAAAATCAGAAAAAAAAGTAAAATAAAAATGGCAGAGGGTAAAAGAACTTTTTTGAGTTTCTAAGGAAGACGCAATCAATGCCATCAACGGTCAGGTATGGCAGAAAGGAGAGCGGATGGATCACCATCTAGAATAAGAAGAAGATGACCCATTGAAAAGCGCGGAGACTTTGCCCTCTCGAGTGCTATCCGGAAAACTTCTGCTTTCATTTTAAACGATTTCCTTTACATGAAGGTTTTGTAAACATATTTTACACTGGCACTGTGATGAAGGAATAACTTATAGAAAGAAACTTTAACATAAACGCCATTCATCATCTACGACTGGGCAAAATAAGACAAATCATCACATTACGAAGGAGAGAAAATAAGATGTGTCGTTAAGACTCGACGAAGTCACAACGAGAAATCGATATTTTCAAATAATATTTTCAGCTGAGAAAAGCTTGGATGACTGAATTCTTTCTGACACATTCACCGTAACAGCAACACGTTGAAGGGACATGTCCTTCTTTTTTTCTTCGGCTAAATCCGAATCGCTCATTTTCGCTTGAGGACCCAAACGAGTAGTCCTAATGCGCACGTTCCAGTATTTTAACATTCAACGTTACAGTTAGTTTAGTTCAACGTTACAGCGAGAGCGGCGAAAAAGACGTTACAAGCGAAGTCACCCGCGCGGCATCAGGACCTAATTGATTTTATTAGGTTGTTCGGAAAGGAATGCGCGTTGACTTTGTCTATTTATTTTTCTTCTACTATAAGAGATTTTTCAAAACAGTTTTGTCCATTAGAAAGAGGTTTTTATTGCGCATCTTTTGATATATTTTTTTCTATGTCTACCTTGTTTTTTTAGAGAAAAAAAGTTTAGAAAATGCTCGACCAAAAATTTCGAATGCGAGCTTGTATGTGGTAAGACTTCAAGCAAGTCCTAACGACGCACTTGGGTGGACCTAATGACCCACTCGGCTCACAGGGGCAGCGGGCGGACCTAGCGACACACTCGGCGAGAAAACTGGCAAAAAGAGGCTCTTTTGACCTACATTTCCTCTCCGGCGGACCTAACGACACACCCGAGGGGAAAAGTAGCGAAAGAGGCTCTTTTGGCGAAGTTGTCGAAAAGAGCCACTTCTAACAGAGATTTTAAGATTCATCAATTGAACCGCGTGGATGAAGCACTGCGTCGTCAAGGTGTCGAAACGACGTCGACAAATTCCTCTACGACAACGCTCGTCCACATGTCGCGAAAATCACTTTGGAAAAAATTGAGGAATTGGGCTGGGAAGTCCTGCCTCATCCGCCATACAGCCCAGACCTGGCACCATCCGATTACCATCTGTTCCGGTCGATGCAGCACTCCCTGGCCGAGAGAAAGTTCACAAACCGCGAAGAAGTCCAACTCTGGGTGTCCAACTACTTTGAGTCGCAGCCGGCCGAGTTCTTCGAAAGAGGAATCCATTCTTTGCGTACACGTTGGCAACAAGTCATTGCTAGTAATGGAGCGAAATGCAGGTTGCAGCCTTGCTATCCATATTTGTAAATAACCTTATAGACTCTATCTCTACTCAGGTCTCCATTCAAAGTTCCATGGTAAGTTGGCGGACTTCCCTGGTGAGAAGAGTCAACCTCCTTTAAGAAACCGATCCAAGCTCAACGATCAAAAACCTCACGAACTTAACTGCCGTCTTTTTCGAGCACGACTTCACTCGCCAATCACCAGTTGTTTATTGGACCAGTTTAAAAAAGGTGAAGTGGCAATTCCTCATACCAAAGCGCAGGAAGATAATGAGAGTTCTGGGACACTCTACACGACGCATTTCTTCACGTGCTTATACACTGAAGAATTTTTTGAACGAATTTCACAAAAGATCCAGTATTTCCAGTTGTATACAATGTTCTCAGCAACTGTTTAAATGTTGCCTTACAGCGCCTGTTGTCTTTGCACGTAATTTCCTTTGCTCGTCTCTTGAATGAACTCAGAGAAAAAAAAACCAACTCCGAAATTGTTTACATTTCGCCATTTACTTTTTATTGTGGCTGACTGTAACACCACGGAAACTCTGAAAGTGGCAAGCAGGGTAGGCATCGTTATGGGTGAAATGGTGGTATAGGTACGACCCCCACCGTCCGTGAGAGAGTGTCATACGACCCCTCGCTCACCTAAGTGGGGGTCTACGACCCCCCCCCCTTTTTTTTACACCTACCTACCAATTTCCCACATTTTCCAGCTTTTTCATCCCAAAGATTTTCCGTCGAGCGGGCTGGGGGGAGGGGGGTTATGCAGCCAATGTGGAACGGGAAAATTTCTTAGATTTTCCCCAGTTCCCTACCACTCTTCCCGGAATTTCCAAAAAATTTCCATTCTTTTCCCCAAAAATTCTACTGTCGAGCGCAGTGAGAGGAAGAGGGGAGGGGTACATATAGTACACATGAAACAGGAAAAATCACGCGAAAAGTCAACAACCAGGAAAATTTTTTCCCAACGCAGCAAATTGCTCTTAAAGGCACATACGACCCCGCCCCCCCCCCTTCCCTCTCCCAACGACTAAACACGACCCCCTTCCTCAGCGGGAAAGTAGAATCGCATTATGTGCTTTACGAAGATGCTGTACCTTGATGGCAAACGCAGAACACTCCTGTCACACGGCCAGCCACTGAAACTTGTAGAGCGAGGTTTATAGCGTTCTAATCGTTAACCACATATTCCAGCATTACATTCCAAGTCGCAGCGTGTCCACACATGAAAGGTGCTAACTAGCTCAGCGCTGAAGGCAAAGCATATGAAACCCTCAGAGCCACCTTAAAAGGCATCTGCTTTCGACGAGCATACAAAGTAGCGACATGGCAAGCGCGGACGAGAAAGCAGAAAAATAGAGATAAAAGGAAGATCGGCAGGGCGAGAAACGTAATACCATGGCACTGAACGCAATGCCGTTTATATGTACCTTTCATAAAAATGGGACCTAAGGCATATCGTAGCTATGCTACCCATTGGGTGGGGAACTTTCCAAGAATGACGATCATTTAGCTAATGATAGTAGGAGTACCCTTGTCACCATGGAGCCGCAAAAAGTGGTAAAACCCCGCGATTGCGGACTGGGTCATTTGCATGGAAAAGCGTTCCACCTATTAGGTAATCGCAAGAATGGGTCTTTAAGTTTATCACCCCATCAAGCAGGTAAAGATAGTTGTTCTCACGGAGAAATCACAAAAACCTTCCTTGAACAAGTTGTTCTCACGGAGAAATCACAAAAACCTTCCTTGAACATCGCAAGACTCCGTCAAAGTAGAACGATTTTGAAACCACAGGAATACGCAGTACATCAAAAACCAGGCTAATGGAGAAGAGCCGGAAATTCCTTTATCTCACCATGTATTCCTTCAGTTTCACTCCTAGCAACTCATTTTTCCCAGTATTCAAAATTCGCGCTCTGCTAGAGACAGTAACCAGTTGTTCTCAATAAGCTCTTTTCGACGAAGTTATTCACATCAAAATGGCCAACTCACATGGATTCCGATAGCTACAATGGCATGCTTCGCAATTTTTGTACTGTCCAAACATCGACTGCAATCCGCCAAGGAATGCTCCAAGCGTTTGTGCTCTGCAAGATAGGATCATATAGAGAAATTGCTGAGTAAACATGTGCAATTTTCGATGAATCTTGGCACGTTCCTCTTGTGTATAAGTATGTGAGATTATTCATCTGAGAGCTAGGATCGTTATACTTTCACTTTTCAACCGGAGTGACAGGTGGACTCTTTGGTCGACTGCGCTAGAGGTCAATTTTTAGTGCCTCTACAGCGTCGTCACAGTGGTTTACGTACCTTCTGAAGTTTTTCTGTAGTTGAAATAGTGTTTGGACGAAGGGTTTCCTGAATGTCTTTTCGACTTTCCAGGTTCCGAAGATGGCGGCGACGGTAAAACGTCAGCCGTGAATAGAATTATTTGGATATTTTGGCTTCCAGCTAAATAATCTTACACACTCATCATCGAGTAAGTTAGGAAACCGAACAACTGATGGACGGGGAAGGAAGAAGAAAATGGAGCGCTAGACAAGCTCCTTTTTTGACGTGCCCTCAGACAGTAGCCCTCAGACATTTTCCACCCCAGTGCTCACAAGCTGAAGACTTGGAAGGATCAGAAAGGACACTTGAATAGTCTAGGAGGACCACTACTTAGAGAATAACGTCAACTCGTTCCACCCCCCCCCCTTCCCTAATTAAGCATCTCTTATAATGCAGCTGATCTCGCAAGCTAGCCTAAAGCCTAAGCCCGCAGAAGAATTGAGTACAAGACATCAATAACCGTCCAAAGTTCCCGTGTACCTGTTCTTCAATGAACATCCTTAAACAGTAGTCGGATAGGAATGTGTTTTCGTTGGGAACGTGTAGATGCGAAGAGGCGGGGCTAAAAACGCCCAAAAGGCGGAGCACGGCGACTTATTCGCAGCAGTTTCGCAGTGAACGTGTGGCTAAATGTGGACGACAGTTACCCTCAGCTCTCTGATATTTTCTCTACCTCTGGTGTATTCCACTACAGAGTGGTGGGGTGATTTGCGAGCTCATCTCAATCCAGCCAGATCACCAGCTTTTTACGATGTTACTTACGACGAAACAGGTAAATCCGGTTATTTTTTCCTGTAGTCATTGCAAATACGATTTTTATCCATTAAAACTATTAAGTGTGGGTAAATTACACGCTTCTACCGGTTTAATAGCTTACCCCGTCATTCGTGTACCAAAGAGTAACGACTGTTTTTATCTTCTTTCTTCTTCCTAACTCAACTCTTCCGCGAAACAAGTTTGCTTCGATTAGAGAAAACGGCACAGGTGCTTTTTCAAGGAGGAGCACTTGCAGAACACCTTCTGCAGAACATTGGCTTAACTTTTGGATATCAGGTTTTTTGGATAAGCCCAAAGGAAGGGGAAGAGGTTCCGCGTTGGATGATCTAAATTCGAGTATAGTAATGCCTTTTCTACACTCCTATACAATGAGTTCTAAGTCGATATGTCCCGATGATTTGTTCCTTTTATTGATTCTACTCTTTAGTTCCGATCTTTCCTTGTAAAAACTGAGCACTGAAGTGCTATTAGTTCTGGACTCTGGTCAAACTTCATCATCCGCTCAAGTCATCCCTCTAAAGGAAACGTTGCTATTTGCAAGACATTTCGATTCCCATCCCTCATTCTGACATTGGCATTCTTCAGAGTGCCCACAAGGTCTGCGATCTGATGCTATTCCCGACTACGTCTACTTCGGCACGATGATGGCTACGATGAGTGTCGATGTCCATGAGCAATGTCTTCAGAAGTGTCTTGAAAAGACGCGATGCAAAGCTGTCAACTATTTCCATCCTTTCGCCTATCAGAAGAAAGGTTTCTGCGAACTTCTCTCTGAAACCCAACGCGACAATCCACGATTGATGCGTCCATTTCGAATGGCCACGTATTTCGAGAACATAAAATGTAAAGAAGTTGATGACGTCGCCGACGATCTTGCCGACATCGTCAACAGTGAGTTCACTGCGATTCTTCATTCACTTACTTGCCCCTGGAATAATGCCCATGCCATTTCAGAACCAGCACATCCTCGCGACAAGAAATTGGAAATGAAAGGACTTGTGAAAAAGCTCTCCAACAAGGTACACGAGTTCAACTCAGGTTTCCGAGCTGCTCGCTAGATTACGGTTTTCCTTCACGTACATAAGTTACCTACATGTCTAGTCTGATCTCAATGTATATTATCGCGGGTGCTCAGGGCGGGTGTACGCTGTGTCTCAGAGCATGGGCGAACACCGTTCAAAATTGTTCTGTATTTGGGCGTCTATATCCCATTTGTGTATGTACAAGCTTTTATTTTTCATGATCCATCGAATAAATGTACACATTCTCTCTACCACTTGAAAACGGCTGAGTAGATAAAGACGTCTAAGCTGACGCCATTCTCCACAATCAGTATGGATCGTAATGCTCATCGACCGCTTTTGGAGTTTCCAACGAGTAGCGCGTGCTGCTACCAAAACCAGATGATGTAACAAGAAAAAGCAAGGCCGTGAACAAGCAGGAAATTGCACTCTACTAGAGCGTCAAAGCAGACGTTCGCTGGACTGGTAAAGGGAAGCCCCTGATTGGAATACCAAGTGGGGTATCGCAGGGCAATAACTGAAGGGACATAGGAATCGATGTCGATAAACCTCTTTCAGGGGCGTGCACGGAACAAATCCATTTGAAATCTCTGTAAATAAAGGGCATGCCTAATTGGCCTCTATAATGGCTTTCATTGCTTTGTATGTCGCTACCGAATGTCATTACTTTGTTCTTCCAAACTGATGCACAATTCTAGTAATAAGCTTAGTGGCATTTTCTGGTGGTACTGTTGGATTTCCGGTTAATCATTTACGGAACTCCATTCACAACTACAAGAATGTCCCAGGGACGACTCGCGGGTTATCCAGAGGTATAACGGCTTTAGCTCGAATGAGTTCCTTGAACCCGCTAGAAGGAAGGAAGGAGCAGGAGGGGGAGGAGCACGATTTGCATGCAGTAGGTTGAGGATCCCCAGCAAGGAGGAGGAGCAGGGGGTCGCATTTGCCTTTGAAAAGAATGTTGTTCGATGGTGACTTCCCTCGGTTTTTCCCATTTCATGTGCAATATGCATCGCCACTTACTGGCCGCTTTCTTGGATAACTGAATAATATTTGAAAAAAAGAGAAAACTGCAAAAAGTGGTTGGGAGTTGGCAGATAAAGTAAGGATGGGGATGCGAAGAGTAAGAAGACGGTAGGGAGGATGGAGAGGGGGAGGCCGGTCACATCAGAAAAGGACAAGGACATCCCTGTTTGGATGTTCCAGGCTGCACTTTATTCCCAGACTGTATATTCAATCGACACTGCCAGTACCCCACCTTCCATCTCGCTTAATAGAACTCAATAAAATCCCCTATTCAAAAATTTTGGATCAATACCCGCTGGTTATCAAAAAGTGCGCGTACTTATTTGGAAGTCCAACGGAGAGTGACCGTGATTTTTCACTATCTTTTAGGCCGCTCAAGGACATAGTATTATAGATCCGTACCTCTGATTTCGTGGCTGCACTATGCCGTCCATATAATTAGTGTCTGAGTCATTCAAGGTATTCACAAGTTTCAGGAACTACAATTGCTGGTATGCGGGAAAAGGGAAGTGTTCGGTAAATCGCGGAACGCGCTGTCTTAACCACACCCAAAAATGCGCAACATCAAAGGTTATGCCGCGTACTAACTTACCTTTTCTGCTTCGTTCCTTCGCTCTGCGTTCATCTTTCTCTTGATGTTTACGTTTCTCGTTCTGCATTTCAGCTATGTCATCCAGGCTCTCATCGTCGTGACGCTTCACCTTCGCGCTTTTCTAAATAGCATCTTAAATCTTCGAAAAAAAATCGGTCTGGAGAATTCCATTAGATCATTAATGTAAATGGGATCCCATCAGATATCATTGGTCATAAAAAAGCTTCTATTTAGGACCTGATCCAATGAAAATCGATGGGATGGGGCAAGTTCGGAATTATCGTTTGCGGTCATTACGTCAGCACATTCCATCAAAAATGGACCGTCGGCGGCGGTGTCGCCATCACGACAACCACAAGTGGCGAAGAGATGTTCAGCGAAACGCTACGCCGAGAAATGTCTCAACATCGCCGTGCGCTCGCTCTCATTCTTCAGCAGAAAAAAAATCAGAGACCACTAGACGTAACGCATAAATTCCTGCCATACACAACTACCCATTAACGGACAGATGCTACGGGAATCACCTTCACGCAAACAGACTCACTGGAATTGCAGTAAGCGAAACAATCGCAAGGACATTCATACTCCGGTTCGCAATAATATAATTAAAGGAGTGTCCGCCGACAGTCACGACTTTTGCAGTGACCATCCGAGAATTATGAAAACAAAACTTAAGTTTTCAAGATCACACAGCCTTCCAACCTTACAGCTGGATACCCAAGGTATCCACCACAAAACACACCAGGAGTTGAGCGGTCGAACTCCCACCTTCATCACTAGTTTATATTTTTTGGCCTCTCCCGAAATGCTGCTCGAGCTACGTATCTGAGCATGAGATTACTCAAAACTGATGTTATGAAAAGACATTTTCCAAAAAAATCGTTGGACTCCGATGGTGCGGACCACTTCATCTCATAGAACCTCACCGTGGGGTAGTTCGGCGATGGGAGGGGCCTTTTGCTACTGCTCTTTGACGTGTCGACCCAACTAGAGAGCCATTTTGTGAGCATAGAAGAGTTCACAGGTTTTACCACAGTAACTCGACGAGCTTGCTCCAGCTTCACAAGAGTTCACAGATTTCACCAAAGTGGAACATGTAAACCGGAACTAGTGAAGCAGCAAAAGTGCAAATGCCCCCCCCCTTGTCGTCGAACAGCGCCCCTCACTATTATTGTTGTTTGTGTTTTCTTGTTTCCTAAGTTAGTTGTCCTAGGTTATTGGATGAAACTCCTCCCTGACGTTTTGACTAGATCATCTTTATTAGAGGTCCAGCGGAAAGCTTCCGCTCCTTCTACTAATAAGAGAGTTAATATTGAATTTGTTTCGTTGAACTGGTACTGTACGCAGGCTGTGTCACGTTGATGTTACGTTTAGCTGGTAGCATAGGTGATATGATTCAGAAATGTGGAAGGTTTTTTCACATAAAATGAAGAGCAAAACAGAGAGTAAAGCAAGTTTTTGAGAGTTAGTGAGTTTTGTCATCACCGACGACCCCCTACCAGCTTTCAGAGAGTGTTTGCCCACCTACCACCTTCGTTTTTTTTCAATAAGTGCAATGAGGTGCTGTTACTGACAGTTTCTTCAGACTGTCGAAACGCTTGCCCATGAACAATGCCTTCAGTTGATCAAAACAGTTGATATCGCGCGACTTCAGGTTGGGCAGCAGAATACAGGTCTCCACTTTGTTTTCGTCGGAGTACTGACGAATAATAAGATTATTTGGGGTCTGGCAATGTTACGGGCAATGCAGGCTCGCTTGTTTTTTATTATCATCCACTTGTCGAACTGATCACCGAGAAACAGCCAAGGCACTTCGGCAATGACGCTTTTGTTTTTTAGGGCAACGCCGCTAAAAGGCCGGAAACCCAGAAATCTATTGTCAACCACTTGGACCCTCGCTACTCCTCATGACATAATTCGCAGAGCTTCTTCACCTGCATTCATTCAAGGCCTTGTGGTCTTTGCATTTTCATCAAGCCGACCCTGGCTTTTTGCTTCCTTGAGGAAGTTAGGCACCCAACCAGGAAGTTAGGCACCCAACCACGCAAATCTTTGTCCATACCCGATTCTTCGGGCGCAACTCGGCCAAAGATTGCAACAGGAATGTCGTTCGTGCAAGTTTGCAATCATCGTTTGCGGTCATTACGACCCGTCTCGTATTATCAGGCTCGATTTCATCCACAGACTTCCTGTGTGCGGAGTGAGCACTGGCACAGTGGGAGGATATTATCCGTTTCGCTTCTGCCTACATAAGGGCATGTGCGCTTTGGAAACAAAGCTTTTCCGATCCTCACGTCTGCTAAAACATTCACCAATCAAAATTTTCAGTCAACTCAGGGCTATAGCAAACGCTGAACCAGTTGTAGAAAGTAATTTTCATCTAAATCATGGAGCCTTGCAAGCATAACCTTTTTTGCTCTTCCTTTTTTGGGCTTTCGCATCTATTAGTCCACAGTCCGTTTCGAGATTGCAATCTTACACATCTATTATTCAGCTCATGATTAGTTAACGCATTCCCTTGAATGATGCCCCTTCTGATTATCCAGCGCAAGCTTTGGTCACTCAGGTTTCTTTCCAGTTTCTCGAGGTTTTCCTCTAGGGCCATACCGACCAACTTTAAAGGTGATTGGCACGATAATCTCGAAGATCTGCGTGCGGTCAATACGCCTAGCAGAACAGATCTCGGAGCCCCCGAGCAGGCTCTGCCTAATGTCTTTTCCATGGAAGACCCTTATAGCACCCTATCAGGCTACAACATGGACCAACAACATCAGGCTACGACCCGACCCGCACACAAATACTTGACCGATGCTGATGCTCATATCGCTTCATTTGCGAAATACAATATGAGTCAAAGGGATTGATGAAGCGGTTGCGCTGCTGCATGGATATATGGGTACACTTTACATAACCGCAATTGTCGGGTCGCAATCAGCGGCTCGCACCTGCGGCGTTTCCATCATTGGTTGCTCCCTCCCTAAATCGATCTTTACCCGATCGCCATTGGTAGAGCAACGAGGCCGAACGCCCATTTGGACCGCGTTGCACAGCCGCCCTCCGACAGTCCGCAATGATGAGGACTGTACAGTATGCAGCCATCTACAGGAGCGGTTACTGCCATCAGAAACTCGTCCGAGACCGATTTCTGAGCCGTGTTGAACAGAGGGTTTTTTGCAAGTTTTTTACCGTTTCATTTCGTTTTTTCGCCACTTCCCCGCTTCACAGCACCCTACCGACATTTCAGACCGAGCACCAAATTAGCGTGCATTATGCCCTTAACGGATATGTAGCAAAATGTACTAGCTACTAAACAATATAGAACCCCATTATTAACCCCTTTGTTTTCTCAGCACTTCTCTACATGTCTTCTTATTTTCGAATGACCTAATAAAGCGGTCAGTATCATTACGCAAATTAT